ACCTAGAATTAAACCCAGGTCCTTGCACTGACCAGGAAGGCACTCACACCGCCGAGCTCTTCCTGGCCCTGCCATCCCTTCTGCCATAACTTTCCTGCTTGGAGCTAGCTGGCCATGGACAGAGTCCCATAAACCACAAGCTAAACCAAACCAGACCTTTCCTACTTTAGTTTGTGTGTTGGGTTGTCTTAGAGAAGGGAAAACTATTAATCAAATGCTAAAGCTGGGAATTTTCGAGTTGGCCAAGAGTGGAATTGATTTTGGTGGCAAGTAACTTACTGTCTTCTGTTTCCCTGTAGCTTGCCTACCACCAAAGTAATCCAGATATAATATCTGAGTATTTGTGGCCTGGATGAGTGTCTTTTTAGGGTGCTCTTCCTGAAGGATTGCCTAGCTTCATATTTCTAAATATGGCAGAAACTACAGGAGTTTCTGACTCTATGGAGACACTCTGACTTAAATGTATGAAACAAGGCAAAGGGTAGCTGAAGGAGTTAGCAAGAGTATCAGATTGTATTTCTTATAATTGCTTTTCTAGTCACCTGTCTTCTTTTTTGGACTATAAACTGCCAGACTCGGGATGTCTATTTTATGCATACAGAACTCCATGTTTGCACCTGAACATGTTTCACGAATGTGGGGGAACAAACGATTTCAAATCATTGTTCCTGGCCAGACTAACAGAGCAGCATGTCTGCAGCAGTTAATCAGACAGGCCATTAGCTCACTGTCTATCAGCGGCAGTATGCAGGCTTATTTTTGAAAACAAAGTCTTGACAAAACAATCACTATCAGCCACCGAGTTTTAGTAAGCCACATCAGTGTTTTCCGGGTTACAGTACAAATGCTTGTTAATACCTAACTGCATCACAGAAATTAGGCAACTGTGGCCCTCCTTTATAGACTGATGTCAAGAGCCCTGCCTTTCCCCACATAATGACTAAGTGCTTCACAAGTGCTTTCTCTTATTTATATAAAGAACATTAGCTGCAAATTTAATGTCACCATGCTTGTAATTTGCATGTGAATGAAAGTTAACAGTGCAGAGATGTGGAATTAAACTGGTTGATGATAAGCAGCAGCTCTGCTATGATCAATTTCTCTGTCCTCATTATCTCACCTTTTGGCTTATTGTGTTTGTTGCTTTCTCTCATCACTCACAAAACTGCAAAAAAGGTCCCCAAGGATGCACTAGCAAGGGCTTCTGGAAAATGGTGTTTGGACCGTTCACATAATGGGAACAAGGAAGCCAATGTGCCACATGGTACAAAAGCCATGGTGCTCTCTTGGCTAACCGACCCAGCTTTAAGAGGGAGACAGCTTTGGGAGCAAAACTGAGTGAGGAAATTTGCAGGAAACTGACTCGTAGGTTTAATCTGTTTAAGTGATGCTTGTAAGAATAAAGAGTAACGTTAGACTTTTAGTGACACTGAATCCATAGTGAGAGCTATTTTGGTAAAAGGAAGTGACACAAAAATTACTTTAAAGAATATGAGGAGGGAGCCAAAGGTCTTTTCTAAAGCAAAATTAGGAATAAACTACTTTGGAAAAGTTGTAAGAGCAATTGCTGAAGTTTTATTTGTTGATGAGCTTGTAGCTGATATCACAGCTACAGGCAATTTAGTGTACCTGTCATCTTCCTGCTGGCAGAGCAGAGCAGTGCTGGCGCTCTTACCAGTTGCGATTCAGGCTGAGGTGCCAGAAGGTATGCTGTGAGCAGCACTGCGGCATCCCTGCGACCTCTACAGGGTACTGTCCTCTCCTTGCCTCATTACCTACATGTAAGAACTCCTATCACCACACGCATTACCGTACCGCTACTTCATCTGAAGGGGACAAAGGTAAGTGTATTTAGCCTCAGTATGGAGGCACTCAATGTGGTAGAAGAAAGGACTTTTAATCATACCTATGGGAGGACAAAATGTAATTCAGAGATGTTGAAAACAAGTACTTTGTAATTTGGCAAACCTGCGTTGCCGTGACAATAATTAGCAAGGTCATGAAAGCAGTAACAGAAGGTTAGTCCAGGTGACTGAATGGAATTTCTCCAGCTTCTGCAGACGTTGCACATTCAAGAATTAACCAGTCAATCCCCTCTCCTACTCAAAGTGATTCCAGAATTGGTGGGCAGGGAAATGAGTTTCTAGAATTAGGCCTTTGGGCACAGACTGCAGAGATGTATGAGACGGATAACGCTTGCCTTGTAGATCCCTCCTAAGACCACGATGATCAGACTTAAAAGTAGTTTCCTCTGATCAGCATCTAGTTTTTAGAAAGAAGTAGAAGTCTTCTTTGAACCAGCAATGAAGAAAAAAGTAGAAACAGGTTCTAGAGAATGCATTTACCATAGAGGACAAACATTCAAGTTTAAGCAGAAGTAAACAAAAAGCATGTGAAGACAGATAGTTCTAATCAATTTAATGAGAACCAGTAAGTCAAATCCTTTACACAACATATAAATAAATACAATCCCAGCCCTTCCCATGGCAATAAAACACTGCAGCGAGTTTCCTGAACACCCCACAATAACTTTATAGATGAGAAATAGTGCTAAAGCTCAACAGCACAGAACACTCAGAAATGTGCTCTTATCTGTTCTGGGGAAGCAGACATGGAATCAACATTCAGTCTGAGTACCCAGATGACTACAGATGAATCCTGGTAGGCAACAGAGTGTATAAACAACAGTGTTTATCCAATTTGTATTTCAAAATCAGCGGGTAGAAGCAGGGCATCATGACTGGACGCAAATGAACCTGAGAAAAATAGTGTGCCTTGCAATTCAGTTATTTAGGGAAAGGGTACCAGGGACACAATAGCCTAGAAGTCTACGTACCATGGAGTCTTTTGATGATAAATAATTGAAACCAACACAAAAGATGTAAATGGAGCCAGATGACTCTGAGGAATAAATTCCGACGTAAGTCACACCAGACAGGGCTATGGAAGTGGGCATGACTGTGTTTACACTTTCACACGATGAAAGTTAACCTCCACAACTTTTCATCACCACACGAATGGGACCCTATCACAAGATAAAGGAGCACTGCTTGACAAGTGGTGAAGGTCTGATACCTAGTCTTTGCAGGGAGGTAGGAGATGCTATGGAGTTCTCTAGGAAACAACTTTTGGGAAAGTTTTCATTACTGAGAAGAAAAGTGTCTGGGGGAAAGCATACGACAAATAGAGCTACCATGATCTGCTTCCTTTTGAAGGTAAGAAAGTCAGTGGAGAAGCTTCTCTTAGCCACTACCATGGTGCTAAAAATCTTAGTCTTGGCTTTGTTCCCTCTGCCTGAGTTTAAAATTCTGCTACAATTATCTGAGCTTTTAAGTGTACATAAAAAACAATAGCTAAAATATCTGGTCAATTTAGTAATAGGCTTAAAAAACCACAGAAAAAAACTTGGGTTGTATTTATGTTGGTAAATTTTTTAACAGATGATGCTAATAACTACGTTATAATCCAAACATGACCAAGCATCACATACAAAGTGTTCTCCCTGCTTTGAGGTCTGCTTCCTGGGCTTAAGTGAAGCAAGATATTTGGAGAAGCAACTATGATGAAGTCTCCCCAGCTCAGGCCAAGCGTGCGCTGCTCTTCTTCCCTCAGTTAGTAGTAACTGTGTTAATAACTAAGTTAGTAGCTCAAAGTACAGGAACAAGGTACATTTAACTAAACCAAATGGACTTCATCTGTTCAAGCTGGACACCTAGCCAAAGGCAAACGAGCTCCGCTGTGTGTTACTTTCACATACTGCTGTCCAGCATCGCTGATCTGAAGCTATCACAAGGCACAGCTTGTGCACAGCTGAACAGGAGCACTTCGGCTCTCTCAAGAGCACGGGCCCCACTCCCGTGAGCCAAGGAGGGACCCTAGACTGACGCACTAAACTCTGTGGACCCTACTGTCAGTAGCCTTTAAAAGGTCAATTTCCAATAATCTTAGCCATTTTGGTGCTAAAAAGAAAAAAAATGAGAGGATTGCTATCCATAGGAGCTAGTGTAAATTGTGGGGATTTGGTTCAATGATCCAATAAAAACACATATTTTTGTGACCAAGAGAGCTACAAAATAGGCACATCTAATGTTCTTGGACCCTGATGTCTTTTTTTAAAAAAAATCTTTATTTGGTACAGAGTCTCCCTATGCAGTTCGGACTTGTAGTGATCCTGTCTCAGCCTCCTCAGTGCTGGAGTCATAGGTGTGTGCCACCATACCCACTTCTGGGGCTGGTGTGGTATACGGTACTGGGGATCGAACTGGGTCCGTGCACTTGCCAGGCAGGAGCTTAGACCACTGAGCTACCTCCCCAGCCCCAACCCTGTTGTCTCGAAGCCACATAATGTTCTAAAGTCAGTCAAAAAGTATCTCACTTGCCTGGGAAAGGCAGCAAAGGGAGGAAGAGGCGGGGAGCTGATGAGTCAAAACATCTGCACAGAATCTGACACACCAGGGAGACTTCATCTACCATTTAAATAAAATGGGTTCTGCAGCCTTGGACTGATGACCGTTAAGCCTAGGATATGCACAGATTCATTTGTTACAAGCACATCTGCTGAGTAATCTCCTAGTAAACAATTTCTGTTAAGACTTTAATGCTCTTTTTCAAGTGACTAGCCATATACAGCATCTGTTTCCTGCCTCCTTTTACGCAGAGGTAGAATGTTCTACTACTTAGTGAAAAGACCTGTGTTAAGTAAATTTACAGATGAGCAAGTGGTTCTCACTATATAGCCGACTCTGCCATGAAGCAGAGTCGCTGAGAAGGAAACCCCAGTCCAAGTTCACAAGCTCTGCAAACAGGGCAGAAGAGGGTCTGCCATCACCACACTCACCCAGAACCCCTGCGTCCTGACCATGGGAATACCGCGGAGCAACAGAATACATTTGAGCAAACAGTTCAAAACTACATGCGATTATTTCAGAGAAAACAACAATATGTCAATATTAGCTTGTCTTGAACTACCCTTTAAGTCAGAATGTTCATGAGAACCGTCATATGTTTTAATTTTTTATTAAAACGCGCTGGCATCCAGAAGCTTCTGGATGCTTCTCTGACGAAGAGGCAAGCAACAGGAATTTGAAAAATTATATTAAGGTCCTGAGTCCAGTTTACAACTCTAGCAAATTTTCTCCTGGAAGCAGTGTTACTTTTGTCCCCTTCCATGATCAACCACAGAGAGAAAAGCAAGCCATAAAGCTGCCTTCCTATTAGAGGAAGAACACTGTACAGAGGCTGGAAGGCAATATTCAGCAGCAATCACATATTTAAGTTTACTTATCTATGCTTAGCTTCTTTTAAACATATTTAGAATAGAAGTAAATGCTTATATTTATCAATTTAAATAAGAGTATTTCCTCCAAGTTCTGAAATATACATAAATGACCTCAAAATATTGTACTCATCACCCATCTTTCCAATCAGAACTCAAAAGTTAAGACTTCCCTGCATACTTTTGAATACATAAACATAAACAATAAAAAAAAACTGAACTAACACAAATAGTGGAAAAAAAAAAAAAAGAAATCAACTAAATCGAGTGCAGGACTGGAATTTATGTGTCTGTGAAAGGTAGCTCCAGTATAGCAGTGTGGACACGCAAAAGGTCCAAGTGCGAGCCGCGCATTCCTCTCACAGTTCAAATGCAGGGAACTTGGCTTTGGGGGGCACGAGCAGGTCCGCCAGGAAGTATATTGTTCCTGCCATTCCTGAAAGAGAGGGGCGAAAGTTACTGCACCAAATGATTCCATTCCAGGGAGCAACTCCACTTTTCAGATCAACATTACAGTAGTAATGCCTGTGGCTTAAAGGACGCAGAAATGTGCAGCTACGCACTTTGTGGTTGGAGGCTGGGTGAGATCCCACTGAGTGCTCAAGCTTTTAATCCTGGTAAGAGAGAAGAGAACGAAGCCAGGTGAGGCCCCATCACTGGCTGTCATGTACCACAGTGAGCACCGTGGCCAGGGCACTGCTTGCTCATCTGGGAGGCAAGAGGGTAATGCCTGACGGTGTGGCTGAAATGATTTGCAATGGCGTCTGCAAAGTGCTCAGCACATGCCCAGCTCTCTACACGACAGTTACTACTGAGACTACAAGTATTCAGTCTGCTGTGACATATGCTGATTTTTAATCCTGACCTGTCATACTGTGAAATAAAGAATCAGTCTAAGTAATGACTATAAAATTAATTTGTTGCTACAACTGAAATTCAAATGCATTAACTAGCAAGCAGGAAAGTAGCTGCTAAGATAACAAATAATGTGTGAAAAATACCTTCGAAGAGGGAGAAAGGGGTATCCGGGGTCCTGCACCCATGCTCTCCGTAGTCCAAGCACCATTCAGCAAACTGGAAATAAAACCAGGTTAAATTGCTGGAGTGATTTCTTGAGACTCTAGCAGCTGACAGAGATGGTCTTTAAGGACTACTCTGGGAACTACAATACTATGGAGTCAGAGAAGATGGATGAATGCCCAGAAACGGAAGGTTCACTCTACAGGAAGAGCACATAGTGGGAGGGATTTAATGCACTGCTTGAGCCAGGCATTGCCAGTTACTCAAGAAAGGAACACCAATCACCCTACATCTTTATTTTTTTTTTCTTCCATAAATACTGTTGAGCAGAATTATGGTCCATTAGATTTTGAAGGCTTTTCTTAAAGAATAGGCCTGTTACCTGTAAACTCATGTCTTAAAAACTAAATTCATGGAATCAAATGAACTACAGTCCTCTCCTGAACCTCCTGAGGCACTGCTTTGCTGCTGGCAGCCTCACGCCTACCTTACAGGCCCTGTACAGGTACTTCCTGTCCTGCGTGAGGTTGTAGAGCGACAGGAAGGCGTAGGCGTTCCCGGCAGCACCGTGGCACAGCCCATAGCCCTTCTTCAGCAAGCCATACTGCCAGATCACGTCGGCACACTGGTAGGCATCGCTGAGGTACTTCTCCTCTCGGAACACCTGAAGAGTAGAGAGGGACACAGGTTTCATTTCAAGGATATAAAAGCAAGTCCTGTTGCTATCCCTTCCTGCTACAAAAAGAGATGGGGAAGTAGAAGAGAAAGAGGCAGCTTTGCAATCAAAGGTAGGGATTTTGGCAAGAGACAGCGGTGTACTATCAACAGTGCCAGATCATTAAAGTGGGTTAGCTTTGCAACTGTAAATAATCAGGTGCGACCTTGTCTACAGAACTTTGCACCTGTGTGTGTGCAAGTCCATGGTGAAGCTTCCACCCAGAACTTGCTCTTATCATTAGCCACTCTCCAGGGAGCACACACACACGCGAACTGCTTTTGGTAACTAGGAGAGCCTTTGTCCGCAGGACGTTTCTTTATAGATCAGAGAAGAAAGTGTCAGTTGTTAACATACAAATTGATTCTGAAGCGCTAGGCTTTGTTAGAAAAAGATAACCCTTTATAATTGTTTGTTGCCTTTCATGTATTGATCAAAAATGTAAGAAATACTCTGAGTAGATGTTAGTATCTCATTGAGAATGAAGTATCCTTAAAAACAGTACAAGGCAGTTTAAAACTTTTTCCCTGTATACTTAACTTTTTTTTTTTGTGGTACTGGGGATTGAACTCAGGACCTTTTGCCAGGTAAGTGCTTATTCCACTGAGCTATCTCCCCAGCCCTATATTTAACTTTCTGAAGTGAATTTGATACAGTAAGGCTTAGTTATGAGATGTCAGTGTTTATTTAGAGATTTGTAATTCATTAGTGTGGCACCAGTGGTCACCAATACCTTGGCTTTTCCTTTTTTTCAGTTAAGGACCTTTCCGATCTTGGTTACAGTTCTGCTACAGCAAACTTTTTAGAAGTGATCTGTATTTTTTTATATTGTAATAAAATGTATGTGTCATAAAAGTTACCATGTGAACAAGTTTTAAACATACAATCCAGTGGCATTAATTACATTCACAATGCTGTGTGCCCATCATTCCTGCCTATGTACAAGACCCCTATCATTCCCAAAAGAAACTGCACATACTCGAGCCTGGGAAGCCTGGTTTCCTCCTCTGTGCATCTGTTCCTCTTGACACTTCGTAGTGGCCACCCTGGTGCAAGTGCAGTCATAGTGTGTGTCTCCTTCTGTGCCTGGCTTACTTTTCTCACTATGCTTTCAAAGTGCGTGAGTTGTGCTATGTATTTGCATTTCATTCCTTTTTAGGACTAAATAAATTCCACATCATGTGTACGTCATGTTTTCTTTTTCTGTGCCTCTCTCTGTTGATGGATACTCGAGAGATTGCTATCTTTTAGCTTAGCAAGGACCTATTAGGAATATCGGCACACATCTATCTGTTTGAATTCCTGTTTTTAGTTTCTGTGGTACAGCTCTATGAGTGGAACTGTTAGCTGCAGATTATACAGTACTTGAATGTTTAATGTTCTGAGCGACCACCAACTGTTTTCCACAGTAGCCACACCATTTCCTGCCCCACCAGCAATGAAGGCTCTACTCTTCACTGAGGTCTGATTCACTCGGCTGTACCACACATGCTGTTACTCTACCTATCATGAAGTCATCTGCTCTATGACAGAATGTCTGCTAATATACAATGGATACTAAGGGAATGAATCTTAACACCACATAGCAAAGTAATCTAAGGTCTATTTTTTTTGTTATGTTTTCTAGTTTTTTTCTTTTAAATGAGAAAACACGCAGTACCTTATAGGCCTGGGTAAGCATGTAGATTACCCCAGGGGCACCGTGGCACCAGTGCACAAGGAGATCTCGATTATCTTCAAGACAGGGAGGGTAATTGCCAGAGGGGAATTTCAGCTGGCAGACGAAGTCCACACTGGGCTTGACCACACTATGTAACTTCGCTTGGCTCACTTGAAGGCTGGGCTAAAAATGAGAAAGAATTATTATTAGTGAATAAAGCTTCATAGGATGCAGTGTAAATTTTAAACAAACAAAAATCTCATGAACCAAAAAGTCATTAAAAAGCCTGGATTTCACCTAAGTTTTTTTCACCTATCCCAACATCTTTGTGATTAATATTTTGTGATTTTACTTTATTTTTAATTTTAATTTAATTTTTTTTGTATTTAGGACAGGGTGTACGGGGTCTCACTGAGGAGATCAGACTCGTAGTGATCCTCCTGTTTACAGCCTCCCAAGTGCTGGGATTATAGGCGTGCACCACCACGCCCATGTCAATCACAACCAGTCTCCATAGCCTGCTCAGAGTGCCCTGGGGCAGGGCTGGCACTGCAGGCCAAGGGATGGAGCTCCCCGCCCCTGCATCTGCCTAAGCAGGTGCTTTGATCTGCTGAGCTATTTGGCCAGCCCTGATTTTACTTTATAATTTTTAAGTAATGGAACAAATTAAATTGGGCCATCAGTTAACTCAGGGCCTTCTCTGTGCATTAATTTTCAATATTTGTTACTTTTATATATATAATAACTTTTCCAATTCAATGCTTGAGAATGTCTCCTAAAATTTCAATTCCTAAATCATGTTTTCAGGGCATAATGGCACGATAGCCAAGCAAACTTCCGTTACTACATTTAAAGAAGTGGTAAGTGATGTTTTCAATAGAAAAGGACACCTGGAATCTAATGTCAAACTGTAGCATGATTTTAGATCAAATCTTTCTGCAGAAGATTTAAAACCAATCTCCACACAGGATGAGTCTGCATGATGTTCAGATTTACAGGACACACTGACGTAGGGCATATGAGCTGCCATTTTTGATATAAATTCTTCCTTCCTCTCTTTCCTTCCTAATTCAGTGCATTGCTCACTCTTTAAATAACAAATACCAAGCTATGCAGTGAGCAGTGGGTGGGGGACGTGAAGGTGAGTGGTGGGCAGGGGTGTGATGCACAGGCAGGAGGAGGTGCTGGGAACAGAAAGACACCAAGTTTTCACAAGATTCTGTGTGTGCACTGAGTCCTCCCGGGGACACTGTTGTTTACATAAAGAACAGTGTTGCAGCTCCACTTAAAGTGTGAGAGTAGAATGGGGAATCTTGCAAGGGCAATCCAACATGGCCTAAGATAATAGTGGCTTACTTTGGGTTGGTACGAGGCATATGCTAGAGTGGACTTTCACACTAAATCAGTTCAAATGTGTAATACTCTGCAAAGGGAAAAATCAATACTTGGCTTTTCAGGTATCTTATTACAGCTAACAAAAAGAGGCAGAATGGAGGATGTCTCCTCCAGTATCTGTTTTAAATAAAGGTCAACACGGCCATCCAGTCACTGATGTGCATGCTTCTAGCTCACCTTGAACTTCAGAAGACACAAACTCTCCTTTCCTCAAAATTTTTAGGGATCTACATATACTCTGGGAAACAGAGAGCTCCCAAGGGAATGTACCAGAAAAATAAGGGAATTTAAGTTTACTCCTAGTTGAGTTCAGAATACAGCTGTCTTTGGATTGCCACCAACCATCCAGGTGTGACTTTGCATTCCAAAGGATTAATAATTTGAGTTTTTTTAGCTCTTTTTTTTAAGCTGTCATTACTAGTTATAGGTAGAAGGAAGGCCTGCTGATGCTAACAGGTAACATGCACACCCAAGCCGTCATGACTGACATATTAACGTGAAGCTTTATGCCACACTGTGCTTTGGCCATGTGAGGGTGACAGTCCTGCTGCCACTGATAAGTCAGGTTTTTTGTTGCAGTGAGTTCTACTTGTCCTCAGTTTATTTCACTTTGATTGATGTCTCTCAGTATTATCAAAACCTAAGAACAGAACGGCTGGGCACAGTACATTCAGCTGTCTTCAGGGACAACCCACAACATTCGCTAAAACATCTCCTCAGCTTTGTTATGTGAGCCCCAGGCAACATGTGCTCATTTGTTTTCTATTGATTTTGTTTCAGTGAGTTGTACTGCACAGCACAGAATAACACTCTTAACTCGAGGAACTTGTTGGAAGAGAAGAGGAAAAGTGTACTTCATATAGTGTTATGGGTCAAAATAGCTTGTACAAGTAGCACTGAGTAGGCACGTGAGGTAACAGGCAAATCACACATTGTGAAGCAGTGCTGCCTTTCATGTCGACACACTTCAGAATGCAGACGGGCCAACTCATCTCTGTGTAGGTCAAGCAGTTAAAAGTACGATACGGCGGTCGGCAGAGGATAAAGCGCTGCTGCAGGACCTGTCTTCCGCTCTAGGCCAGGACGGCTGCTAGGAAGCACACTTTGGTCTCACTGTCTGCACCCCTTACCTGCATCAGGTAGTAATAAATTCCTGCCAGGCCGTGCGCAGCCCCTACGTAATATTCCTGGTACCATTCATACATCAGTGGAGACTTTGACGTGAAGTTTCTCTTTCTAGCTAGATTTTCTCCAGAGGTTAAAACTGTTTCACAAATCTGTAGGGAGAAAGTCAACCAAAATAATAAGGTAGTTAAGATAAAAACTCCTGGGTGGAAGCAAAGAAGTTTTTCAGTAAGAAGCACCAAAGAATTGATACCAAATTAAATACCATCTTCTGGCTGGAAGAGGGCAGTACACTTCTGCTTCAGACAAGTGACTGGGCAGCCAGATCCCGAACTCTGCACTGGTGTTTGCAAGAGTTCACCTATTAAAACACAGCTAGGCGTGGTGCACATGCCTGTAATCCCAGCACTCCAGAGGCTCAGGCACAAGGATCTCCATTATTTTGAGGCCAACCTGGGCTACCCAGTCAGTTCAAGGCCAGCCTGAAATACACAGTGCAACCAACCCTGTCTCAAAAACTCAAAATAAATGGAAACATAAACACCTCTGGACACAGGAGGAGGCATCTGCACCTGGGAGGTGAAATCTGGCCCATTCGTCCACTGAGAGGGTCTCTCAAGTGGAGCAAGTTCCGACCCCAAGTCCCTCCCCACAGTGCTTGCAGTAGTACTGGATGCTGCTGGTCCTCTGGTTGTGCCTGACCTCTATAGGTCAACATACATTGCCTTACTATCCATACCCGGTATATGATAACTGCAAAAACAAAGACCATAGTTTAGGTAGAGGATAAGGTACTGGGATTCTAAACATACTCTACACAAAACTACAGTACCTGCTGAATATGGCTTTGAGGAATCTTTTCCATTCCAAAGTTTTTATTGACAAAAAGAAGAGCATAGATATAGCCAATTCGTCCATATAGCATTTCATTCGGAGCATGGGGATCGATCTTATTTAGGTGAATCAGCCTAGGAATAGAAATATATGTCTAAGATAATCTGAAAGGGATTGACATACATGTATGAAAACTCAGCATCCAAAGGTAAGTCCTCTATGAACTTTTCTTTCACAGTGGAGCTGATAAAGGAAGCTTGGTGAAGGAAGAAACACAAGTGTGTGGCTATGGCTACCCAAAGTCTCTGCCTCATTCCTCACAGAGAAAGTCCTAAGATTAGTACTTAAGCAGCTGGGGTCAGAGAAACAAACAACTGCTGGCTGTAGCACTTAAAACCCAGAAGAAAGGACTAAATCAACTCTCAAGGACAATTTTTCACAGAAAGAAACACTCACCACCTGTCATTGGTTTCCTTCCTTGGTTAATTTCTTAATGTGTTATCAGCCCTATGGGAAGTGTCCATCCAGCAGCCTAACCTACCCAACCAATAACTCATGTAGTGGCACAAAGGTGGCAGCCTTCTGGTTCTTGCCTTCAAAAGCAACTCTGTTTACTTGCTGTATCCCCACACACTCTCCAACTTGCTACTTGATGATGCGTCTTCACAGCCACCATACTGTCATAGAGGACTCTCACTCTCTACTGACAGACTCCGTTTAGCTTTTGAGCTCACTCCCGCCCACCTTTCCGACTCAGTGTAGCCCTACCTGCACATCTCTGAAGCAGCTATGTCAAAATTCTACAAGTAGCAGGCAGAACGGGAAAGACCAGAATGTGAAGAACCACCAAATGAGTCCATTTACTGTATTTTCCACTGGCCTAACTCAGTACTATATAGGTAAAACCTAAACCTGGGCAAGAGGGAGGCCAATAGAGTCCCTGAAGGATAGCTTCAGGTCTCTTAATGACAAAAAAGAAAACACCCCACCCTGTCTATTCTCTTCTGCCCCAGGCCATAAGCAGTATCGTCAAGGGAACTCAAAGTAGTCAAAACTCTGAAGGAGGGTACGTTTCACACAGATCTGAAGAGTTATGGCTTGAGGAAGGAGGGGAACCTCACTGCTTCATCTGTCTCTGCTCCAAATCACCTGGCTCTAGAAGCAGGCATGGGATGTATGGGGTGGGGTAAGGTGGGGCAGGGCAGGGCAGGGCAGGGCAACCCAAGTCCCAGCTTCCCCGACAAAGGAACAAAGAGGAAAGTCCCAGGGCTTCAGAGAGCAGGAGAGAATAAAGAACAAATATGGAAAAGAAACCACATTTGGGCATTTGAAATCTGTGAATGAATCTTTTTCTCTGAGCGTGTGTGGGTTATGTGATATGCTGATAGACAGAAAAAATGTTCTTGCTATTTTGTTTATTTATTCATTTGTTTTTGGAGGAACTGGGGATTAAACTCAGGCCCTTGCGCTTGCCAGGGAAGCAGTTATTCCACTGAGCCATCTCCCCGGCTCCTACCTTGCTATTTTAGATTATTTATCTCACTAAATTTTGAAAGTGCAGCTTAATCTTCCCTACAACAGCCTACAATAGTTCACTGTGATCCCATTTAAGTTATTAAAACATTTAAAGTTTTGATAAAATCTGACAAAATGGTATCAGTAAAAAAAGAAACAGGGAACTTCTGGAAAACCAATTCATCTGGTGGTCAGTGACACTCAACATGTTAATCTCTGTTCAAACGGCTTCACATTTATAAAATGAACAGCCCTTCTGAATTAAGATTCTGCTATCTGCTGCCTGTGGAAAAAATTTATTTATTTAGTGTTACTGGGGATTGAACTCAGGACCCTGTGCTTGCCAGGCAAACATTTACTCTACTGAGCTATTTCCCCGGCCCAAAACTTAATTTTAAAGTAGCTAGAAACAATGTGCTGTGCCTTGTGCCATCTAAATTTATTTTACACACCAATTAGAGACGACCAATTAGCACTTAAGTATCAGAAATCATGACTATGAGGTGGTTCATTACACTTGAAACACTTACCAGGAATGAACATTCAGAGGTGCTCTATAGCAAAGCCTACACTAGCACACCGGTTAGTAAGCCTAGTAAAAAATGCTCAGAAAGTGGCTTTCACTGATGGGATGAGTAGCAGTCACAGGCTGGAGGTGTGGTGGTGGCAGAGGCTTTCTCATCCTTCAATAGCCAGGATCTCAGCAGGCCTTGAGGACTGGGTGGTAGGGCACTGCACATATGTGGGTCTTCTTTCTAAGGCCTGTCTACATGGCAGAACAGGTCAGTGTACAGCCGAGGGGTTACATACAGAATCCCACTGCTGATCTGTGGAGATGCCCACCATTCCTAATGCAAGAACAAAAGATACCCAAGCAAACTAAAATCTGACAGCAGACTATCACCAGGCCTACACAAATCCCCCTACCTACTATTTTCATAAATTATAGGAAAAGGACAGCATTTAATGTTTCAAACAAAAAGGACATGTTTCAGCAACAAAGTGAGCCGATTTCAGTGACTGAAAATAGCTCAGTTATGGAACAGGGGGTCTGGGGAGATGGCTCAGTAGAATAAATGCTTGCCTGGCAAGCACAAGGTCCTGAGTTCAATCCCCAGTTCCGGGTTATTAAATAGGGCTGAAAAGAATTCCCCAGAAAGATGGATTTAAAATAGCAGGGCTAGTGATAGTTACTGAAAAATTTAAAACTTTTTCTTTCATATTATACCTTTTTTTTTTTCGTATTTTAGGGAAGAGTCTACAGGGTGTTTAGGGTCTCACTATGAGACTGGACTCGAGATTGGACTTGCAGTGATCTGTCTGTTTACAGCCACCCAAAGGCTGGGATTACAGGCACACACCACCACTCCCTATCTCAATCACCATCTCAGTGTACCCTGGGGGCGGGACCAGCATGGCAGACCTGGAGATTGAACTCGGGCCCTACTGCCTGCTTGCAGGTGCTTTAATCCAGTGAGCTATTTGGCCGGCCCCTTCATATTATACCTTAACAAATGGCAGCATCTCAAATTGGAGAAGCATGCAAATACTGGTTCATGATTTTTCTTTTATAATATAGGAAATAAACTCACATGAAACAGAGATTATTTTAAGAATAGGGTCACTATGTTCAGATTTTTATTTTCATGTAATAGCTTATTTGACTTTTGTTCACTATGTATAGGGCAATACAAGTGGTAGAATTGTGGGATACACACACACACACACACACACACAGAAAATATCCCCACGTGCGTGTGTGTGTGTGTGTGTGGTGATGTGTGTCAATCCCAGGACCTTCTGTAAGCTATATAAGAAATCTACCACTGAGCTACATCCCCAGCCAGCGGTACAGTGTCTTGCTATGTAGCTTGGACTCATAGGGATACTCCTGTTTGAGCCTCCCCAGCGCTGGGATTACAGGCATGTGCCACCATGTCGTTTCAGAGGCCTGCTTGGTGGGCCTGGGGCAGGGCCGGCACTATAGTACCAGGAATCGAACCTGAGTCCTTGCATTTTTAAGGCAGGTGCTTAGACTGCTGAGCTATCTCCCTAGTCTTATAGCTCTTAATTTTTTAAAAGAACTGGAAAAAAAAAAAATCCTGTATTTTAGGGAAGGGTTTACAGGGTGTTCAGGGTCTCACTACTAGTTTGGACTTGTGGTGATTTTCCTGTTTACAGCCTCCCAAGTGCTGGGATTACAGGCGCATGCCACCACGTCCAGTCTCAATTGCCCTCTCTGTGCGCCCCAGGGTTGGGGCCAGCATGGCAGGCATGGGGATGGAACCCCCAGGCCCTGTGCCTGCTTGCAGGTGCTTTAATCCGCTGAGCTATTAGGCCGGCTCTGAAAAATATTTATTAAGAAAATTATAATTTTTTTCGTCACACAAAATAGGGAATCAATTAACACTGTGAGCGCAGGAAAACAAATCTGTTTACTTGATGAAAACTCAACTGTTGTAATAAAAATATTAATGTCTAAATTCAGATAAGAACCCATTGTCTAGTTTTAACCTAAATATACCCAATGTATAGAACTCAAATATAAAAAACACTTCTGGATTTACTTTTGCAGAGGAAATAAAATTGAAAGAACTATTCAAAAATAAAATTTGTTTAGTTTTTAGGCAAATACTACTTAAGGTGGCTTGTGGGTTAGCTCGGTTGTTTAAAGCGGCTGCTTGGGCAACCTCAAGTCAGGAGCAGGGGACCACAGTTCAATCCCAGCTCCAAAGCTGCACCCTTAAGGCAGCCTGAGCTAGCCAAAAAAAATCCTACTACTTAAGGAAGTATTACTAGAACAAATATTGCAATGACACGATAGCAAAATAAAATGCTTGAACCACTTTTTTTTTTTTTTTTTTTTTTTTTTTTTAAGAAAACCCCGTTCCTTTAATTGCTACCACCAGGTGGCAATACAAAAATAGCAACCCACATATATATCTGTATCTTGCAACCAAACTCATGGGCTCTTGTCCCCTTCACAGTAGGTAGCAAGTATCTTTCAGATACTAAAAATAAGGTACTGCTCAGAGCCAGCATCTTATTACAAGAATAAAACTTAGGTAATAAGAGAAGTCTTTTATTTTTCTGGATTTGAATTCAAATTACTAAAGCTTAATTGGGTCTAAAGATTACTAATAGGATTTGTTAATGCTTGAACTGCATGCTACATTTTTAAGATAAAGTAAGTACGTGACAGCATTCATAAGTCACATGGCTATAGGTTTGAAGAAACTCAAATCCACAAGAATAGCACTGTTGCTCCATTTATTTGTTTTGATGTGCTGATATTTATAGCAACCAATCTTTAGAAGAGATAAACAAGTCACTGAAATGTTACTGAGCAAAGAATAAAGACATTTAAAATTAGTATAGTTCTGTTCCATTCCTAACAATATTTCCCTGGGGTGCTGTTGGGAGTGTTTATTATTATTTTTTGGGACTTGTACTATGTCAAAAGATTTTTAAAGTTTAAAAAAAAAAATCCTTTTCACACCACAAAGGACAGAGGCCACACATTTCCTGTCCAGAAAGCCAAAGTTCTTCATCATTCTAAGTACTGGCCCCAAAGTACTACATATGTTACTCTGGTCACCTAATTGAGTACAAAACAGGCACAGCTCTCTGTTTGTTTCTGTGCCACTAACATCTCTGTGCAGCAGGAAGGGCAAAGACACGATGTATGTCAGGGAGAAGAAAGAACCAGCTCTGTACACTGTCATCCACCAGCCCTCTGAGGCCATCTGCAGGATAATGTCAACAGGACAGAGACATACTCCTTTTGGGGAGTTGGGAACCCCTTCTCCCCCATGAGAAGTGCACGTCCTCGCTCTACACCGAACATAATCCGGGGGTTTTGTCTATGGCTGTAAGCTTAAAAGTTCCCAGGGGTTGAGGGCTAAGAATCGCTTTCCAAGGCAAACACTACCTTCTCTGGATTTCAGTTCCTAGGCTTTAGGCTTTGGATAATTTTAAAGGCCTTTTTGGACTCTAAAACTCAAAATGATGATTCTGAAAGGTCATTATATGAAGACAACATAGGGAAGCCCAGTGGGAATGTGTCCTGGGCAGTGAAGCACAACAGAGACCATAGCCAAAAGGGCAAGTACAGGTGGACCCCAGGGTGGGATACGAAGGGGCAACGCTGGGAAAAGGAAAAGCAGTAGGGTTAGCGAGTGCCTGGTGATGTAAAATAATTTTATATTTCCTGAAATGGAATAAAAAAGTATTTTATATTTTTCCACTAAGACGGAAGATATTAAGAATGAAGCAAGGGCTATAATTTTATAAATAATTCCTTTTTTCTTTCTGCCATGAACTTCAAAAATCTTAAAAGTCAAATGTTACCTGGCCATTCACAGCATATTTTTCTGTCATATATCTATATTCTAATTTTTAACTTCAACAAGCCTATTGGCTATGAAGAAAATACTTTTGAAATATAATAACAAACTTTAAAAAGATATGAGGAAAATATCTTTAGTAACAAAGTATCCTAAAAAGAATTTCGGCTTACACTGCAGAGTATTTTAATTTAAAAAACAACAATAATAATATTAATACATGACCATTTCCCAAAGAAAGTTTCTGCACAGAGCCCCTGAGGATGCGGGCGGAGGGTTGTGCACACGAGCAAGCTTGGCAGGTGCCGCTCCATAGCACTGCAGAACATGGTGCACAGCTGCTGAGGCCTCTGAGCAGCCAGAGCTTGAATGCAACCCCCAATCTGCCTGAACACTGTGTTCTCACTGAACATCTATTTGCAGTCTATCATTATTTGCCTGTATGTATTTTGGGAAAGAGTGAAAATGTATACATAAGTCATCGGGATCACTACAATTGAATTTGATGGTAGTTGAGAGTGGTTCACGGAATGAGACTATCTTGTGGACCTCATGTGGCTAACAGCTTGAAACTGGCCGTGCAAAAAAATTAAAAAGGTAGTTTCTGCTTTTTATACTTGAGTACAGAACAGTATCTGCACTGGTTGGTCAGATGCACGTCAACTCTATGGGTGAAACACTTTAAACTTTGGAGGAAATCAATGTTTTATATTACCTGTCCTTTCGGTCAAGTGTGGTGACAGATTTTATATTAAAAAGTTCCCAGCCCTGAAGTGGAATGTTCATAATTTTTTCCTCCTATCTATACTAATGTTTTTTAAAAAATTTAAATTGTACTACATGATGTATAGCCTGTGATGGACACAGCATAGTGATATGTAAAAAAATATGTGAATTCAGGGGCTGATTTAATATGATTCATAAATTATTACAGGTAGTGCATTGTAACCATGTTATAATTTCCAGTGGAAAAAAATCAACTAACATTAAGAAAATATAGTGACTGTATGGGAAAAAATTGGGAGATGAGGGAGAATTTGCATAGGCATAAGATAGATGATTCCTTTTCAGATATAACACAATGCTATCTTACAATGTCCCAAAAGCCTGCTGACAAAATGGCTCCCTCAGCATCCATGACCAGTGGCTCCAGGACTCTCAGAAGACATCGAAATCTGGGGATGCTCCAGCCTCTGATATAAAATGTTTAAACATATAACCTACGCACATTCTCCCATATACTATAAATTATTTCTGATCTACTTAGTCTACTCCTTATAACATGTAAATAGTTGTTGTATTGTTTAGGGAATAATAACGTGGAAGAAATTCTGTACATGGCCAGTACAAATAACTTCTTTCCTCTAGTACTTCTGATCTATGTTTGGCTGGATCTGTGGATATAAACTTTTACATATGGAGGACTAATGATGTAAGACTAAGGGAGACCCTCACCAAGCTAAACTTGTGGTGGAAATGCCATTGTAACAGTAATTTATAATAGTGGAAATTTAAAAAAAAATAGTTCAGGGATAATCACTAATTAGAACACTGCTCAAGTTGCAACTGTGCACCTGTCAGTGTTAGCACACTAACTGGGAGCCCAAAAGCCCATGTACAGACTTTCAAGGCAAGCAAATTTAGAATTCAAAAGACTAACATGAGAATTTATGCAGTGCAGGAGTACAATTTATCTGCTGAAAGAAAAATAAACTAACTAGAATGTCCTTTGTTACAAGACCAGAATGTGCAATGACGTCCAGGAGACAACCCTCAGGAGAAAGGCGAGTACCTTGTGATGCAGTCCTCTGCCTGCTTCTCGTTGTTCATCTTGTGGTGCAGCACAGCGGCCACCGCCAGGGGGCCCGCGTCCCCACACAGGAAGGTGATGGAGCGCCTGCTCAGGCAGTTCAGGCTCTGCTTCACGTAGCCCTGTGCCATCTGCAGATAGGCAGGGTCCCCAAACACATCGTGGAGGTGTAAGTACAGCACAGCGATGCCTGGGAGGCGGGAAGCAAGCAATGAGCAAAGGGTGGCTGACTATACTGTTTTGCTTACTCAGCAGTGTGGGTGTTTTTGATAAGCTACAGAAAATAAGTAAACTATCTGGAAGTTCACATGACTCTAGTGCTTGGCTTGGTTCTATTGCCCAGTGGCAGAGAACCAAGAACGGGTAAATTTCTAACTTGTCCTCGGGTCCCACACAATTGCCACACTTCAAGAATAAGGACATAGATTTGGGCAATAGAGAGGTACAAATTGATTAGTTGCCTTTATTCTGTTCTGGTTAATGTATTATACTTGATAGCTAAATGACAGGTGATGAAACTAATGATGATCCTAAGTAATACTCAATTTAATGACTGATAACTTATGGTTAATAAATGTTTTATCCTTGTGCTCTAAATAAATTCAGAGCAGGTAATGAAAAACTCAATTTCTCTTTATGCAAAAGACAAGTATTTATGTGAGAAGGTCATTCATATAACCAAATCCAATTCCCTAATATTCTTCTAGGCAGGGATTATAAGACAGCTATTTGACATATGAGAAAATGCATTCAATTCCCCTTTAATTTTTTTCCTCTCTCAAGGACCCAGCTACTGTGCTAACTGCAGTGTGGAAGCGGTGGATGACTTCCACACTGCGTCGCACTCCCCTGGTCCTCCTCCTCTTGAAGCCTGCTCCATGTACCCGAGGTGCTGTCCACATGTCCTTGTTCTCAGCGCCTGTCATGGGGAGATAGTGCCTTCCCTCCAAAGCCAACTGGTTTTAAAACAGACTCAGAGATGCGGAGCAGGGACTTAGGCTGCCTGCAGCATTTTCAGAAAATCTTTTTACCCCCTTAAAATACATTTTCCATCTCATTTGCCATTTTTAGAAGACACAGAGCCTCTGTTTAAATCTAAATTAATAGAACCAATCTCTTCACAGATTTCAATGCAGTAAAAATGCAGTCTGCAAAATTACTTTTCACTGTACTGAGGACAATTTTAAATTTAGATAGTTTTCTCATTTTGCATGGGTAATCTCAAAAGCTTTGTGCTACAGACAATTCAATTTCACATGTATATTAAGGCCAAATTTTCATTTCCTGCCAAAGTTAATAACCTTGTCTGCACATTCAAAGTGCCTCGGTGTTAGTAATTCCACAAGCTGATGATCAGATGTACTGACTTTAAACGTTTGCAGACAAATGTACAGAAACCACGTAGGCGGGTAAGAGAAAAAAATCTCTTTTTCACAAATGATCAGTGTCAAGAGCTTCTTCCAGAATTAGGTCCTTAACAGGCTTCATCTCCACCCATATCACGCAACTGCTGGCAATCCATTTAAACTGTTACCTTTCGTTTTGTCCTCCTATTCCAGCTGCTGCCTGAATGCCCCTAATTAAGTCATGTAAGCACTAGGGCCACATAATGATACGACTGAGCACTGAGAAAATAAAATGTGCTTAAATACAAGCCCAGCGATTGTTTTCCTTTTCAGACCTTTGTCTCTCATGATCAACAATTCCTGGTGGCTGACATATTTAACAAATAAAACCTATTAAGGTTTACAGTCGTAATTACATACGAAAGGTTCTTTTTCCTATTTTACAATATTTCATTCATTCTTTTCTCTATATTAATATTATTATTTTTATTCTCTCCAAATTCCCCAATTCTAGCCCTCAGGTCTCCTACCCCTTTCCGTTCTGGGCCTCGGTGCTGTGCTTGAATTAGAGCCATTTGCAGGCCACAGTTGGCATCATCTACCTGCCCTGTCAAAGCACCCATGGACAAAAGACTAAAGGACCAATGCTGCTGCTGATTAGAAAAACTTCCTTCATATACTTACAAATGAGTCTGGGTCAACAAAAAAAGTATGTTATGACTTACCAATAATTTTTGACTCTATGTATTTGAATAATAAAAAAATGACATTCACAGCCTATGGCCAAATGTTTTAAATTTGACCCTTATGATCCTCCAACTCTTGACAATATTCACATATATAACATCACCTTCATAAAATATCAAAGACTCAGGGCCGGTGAGATAGCTCAGTGGACTAAGCACCTGCTTAGGCAAGGGCAGGGACCAGGGTTGGCACCAAATGCCATGCTGATGCACTGAGCTGGCCACCGAGACCAGGCATGGTACTGCTGGGGAGGACTGAAAAAAGGATGATCACTATGAGTCCGAGCTGCATAGTGAGGGAGACCCAGTCCAGGTGTGATGGTGCATGCCTATAATCCCAGCACTAGGAAGGCAAAAATCAAGAGGATCATTATGAGTCTGAGCTCTGTTGTGAGACCCTGTGCATGCGTGCGTGCGCGCGCACACACACACACACACACACACACACACGCCTTAAAAAAAAAATTTCAAAGACTCCAAAGATAGCTGCCATATAAGGAATAAAGGCATAGCTATAAGTGCTCTTAAATTTTCCTAAGGGAAAACATATCCGGACCTTACATATGTACTCATAGACTTGGTCCCACCAACAGTTTAAAAAGCTTTGTGAAATGTCACTCTTATGAAGGTAAATTCTTCATGGAAAGTCACACAGTACTGTGAGATTTACCATGCAAAATACCAATCTCTTTCCTCACCCCATCCCTTATTCTTGGAGGTAACCACTTTGAGTGACTTCAGTCTCTACTTCTATTATCTGTCACCAATTTTAATCCTAAAGAACACAGCTTTCTTCAAAGCTAGAGAAGCAGCAGAAGCTATACCAGTGTCTCTAGGTGAGCTGAAGATTTTTTCACTTTTAACACGCCATGTTAACACGGGAAGAGGACAGCACTGACTTCGGGGAAGTTTGCTGTAGGTACACTGCAAGGTTGGAACAAGTGCAGGAGGCGCAGTTAGAATCAGGTTTGGGATCACCAATGAGACACAGGGCAGGTGGGTACAGGAGAGATACAGGGTACCTGAACTTGCGAGGTGCTTGCTGAAGGAAACATCAACAGCACCTGGGAGGGAACGAGGGAAGGGAAGACATCATGATGGCTCTGAACGTCCAGCTTCAACAGCCAGGGGACAATGCCACCATCTATTAAAAAGGCAACGCCTCTGCCAGGGCCAGGTCAGTGTTGGAGGTTGGTAGTGTCCATGTGTAAACCCATCCCCAAAGATGATTCAGGTCTATAAAGACGTTTAATACGATAAGAAAAAAAAAAAAAAATCACTTCTAGGGTAACAACCCCCTCTACTGGTTACAAGGCCTGGTACAGAATGATGCAGTGCTTCACCTTTTGAATATTTTTTTCCTTTCAGCACAGCAGATACTACTTCTTTAAAATGTGGCCAAAATCCAATTTTAGTTAAGTGCACTCTTGGAATTTAGCCTGAGTATCAGGTAAAATCTCCTTGTATACTTTTGTTAAGAAAGAAGTAGGACAATGGAGATAGGCTTTCTTTCAGTTTTTTATTCTAGATCATAAAATAATTAAATGAGATTTAACTTTAATCTCATTTAATTGTAAAAAATACCCCAAAATTTCCCTAATTTTATCATTTAAAAATTATTTTATCATCATTTTATTTTTAAAAGCCTTTCATTTTGAATCTAGCTAACTTAGACATTTTCATTAATATAAAAATTAAGTTAAATACTGTTCTGTTTTTTAGTCGGCTTACTTGATGGTGACTAGTGCTAAGCTATGAAAATTAAGGCCTTCTGTAGAATTTTACTATTGCATGAGATTTGCTCACATATTACTTAAGACATATGAACATAGTTTTAAAAAGACAATAATCCACAATAGGAATATAGTGAGAAATACACAATGCAAAATATAATTAGGCATTTATTTCCCCATGAATCTTAATGTCATTAAACACTATTTTAACTCTGTGTTAACTGAAGTAGTAAATGATTCTAGTGCATTTCCAAAGCAGTTGCACTAAAAGACTATGCAAATGGTTTCTGCTTTTCATTAAAACAAAACAAAATGAAACTACCACATTGTCTGAGGTGTGAGAGGCCAGAAGAAAGCGAGGCACCTATTACTACCAGCTTGGACTTCTGGAGCCTGCCCAATTGCTTTAGAACTGCAGTAGTGTTACAGTCTCTAATCACCAGAACCTATAGAAATGTAATTACAAGTAGACAAAATTTAGAATTCAGTTTCTCAGTTCCACAGGCACATCTGAAATGTTCAATAGCCACATGTGGCTAGTGGCTCTTATAGTGTATATCACAGTGACGTTTCTATCACTGCAGAATGTTCTATCAATGGGACTGTCCTGAAGGCTTGATGGCTGTCGTTCTATATAAGAAGTTCAGCAAGTCTGGCACAGCCTCAAAGTACACCCTAGGCTTCTCCTGGTTTTGAAATGTTAGCAACTAATCAAGAGAAAAAATATACCAGAAGGACCAGTAAGACTCTACGTAATGGCATCTGTCCAGGCTTTCAGTAGGAAAGTTCTGGGGCACATTGTTCTGTTCTCCTTCCTTCTACAGCTACTATTCTGAGAAGGGAGGGTAAACTGTTTAGGGACACTGCTAAATCCACAATTTCCTTACTCAGCTACTTATCCCCAGCAGTACTATAAATACAGCCAGCTGTTGGGAAATAATTAATACCAAGCCTTTGAATTTCTGAGAGATCATTAGTCCTATTCATCTTGACCAATCAAGACCTTGCTGTGTCTCAAAAGTGTGGAGATGATGAAAACATTCTCCACAGATAAATTACTCTCTCAAAACACTTTTCTGTAATTTGGTCTTCTAGAAATTACTCAACATTTTTTCATTTATTTTCTAACCAGTCTACCACAGTGTATCAACCTCTGCCCTGGTATTTCAGCGCTGCAAGGCTAATTCTTTATATATCAGGTTTTTTTCACAGATTCTTCTCATGTGCTCTGGTAAGAAAAATCATGGCCAGGTCAATGCCCAGTAATTCTGAAAGACAGACAATTCCTAAAGGAGGGGCAATGGAGTGTTACAGTCTAAGTTTAAATAAATTGCTCCTGAGTTGAAACTTTAGAAGTTCACTATC